CTGGAATTACCTTCGTGCTGGCTGTCAGCCTGACATGATTAATGATAGGATATCAAAATTGATAAGGAACTCTTTTGTATTTCATTCATGACAATCGATTTGTGCTTCCAAATGTCATGCTGTTTTTCCACAAACTTATAGGTTTGTTTCCTTCACTTGTGTTTGTGTGTTTGTGTGTGTGTGTGTGTGTTTATTGACAAAATGATATCTGCCCAAAAGTACATAAACACTTTTTGAATCACTGAAAAAAGCTACTGTTGAAGCTTATGCAATTACTCTATGTTGTCAAAAATGCTTTATTGGAAACTTGGCCCACCGTTTTTCTGCCATTGTCAATAATAATAATACAAATAGCATCAGTACAAACAGCTGCTCAGTAGAAATGTAAACATTAACACCTATAAATGCAATATACTTACATACATTAAACTCCACAACCGTACTGTACATTGTGATGATTTCTTTTTATAGAAGTAACAGTGTGGTAAGTAACATTCCACATTGCATGTTGAACTTTATCTGAGCTTTCCAGTGTGGTGATGAAAATCCACACACACACACACACACACACACACACGGGGAGAATGATATGACAGGGAACCGCAGTTAAATTTATCTTAGTTAGGCAGATAGCGAAGTGCTAAGTGTCTCCACCCCACAGTGCAACACTTGACTTCCATGTCAAGAATGCCACTCAGTGTCACACACAGGAACACATGTGGTTCTTAAAAGCTGCCTCTGTTGTGACAGATGATAGTTTTACATCTCACACGGTGGATCACAGTATGTGAACTTCTAAAAGTGAAATCTAAGTAAGATGAAATATCTTAAATTGAGGTAATAGATGCTTGTTTTTTGTCTAGCTGCACTATTTTAAGATATCTATAGGTTCTTGAGACTGGATATTTTTGCTTGTTTTTAAAGATTTTGGCAAATGCAATTTCCCTGTTCTGTTGGCATATAATTTTGTTTATTTTAAGTAATATCTCCCCCATTTTATTACTTTCTTCTTGTTTTTGAGAGCTGAGTTTTTAATCAAAATCAACTCAAACCAAATTTATTTATAGAGCACTTTAAAAACAACATCCAGCTGACCAAAATACTTTACATGGCAGAATAAAATCACAATGAATGACTAAAATAGAGTAAATAAGATCAGTGCAAATAAAAATAAAACGGCACAATAACACAGACACACAGTTAACATACATTAAATAAATTAAAATTAAAAGGAATGCATCAGTTGCATTAAAAGCCAAGCCAAATAAATATGTTTTAAGTAATGATTTAAAAGTGCTGAGGTCGGTAGCTGACCTAACATTAAAAGGTAGACTATTCCACAATTTAGGGGATACAATGGTAAAAGCACAGTCACCCCAGCGTTTACATCTGGCCCTTTTTAGAGTGTGAGACATGTACAGAGCGCATTTGGACACAGACAATGCAGAGAGAAGATGTACTGTGTCGTCCACGGATCAGGCCGTCCCCGGCACCTCGGCAGCAGACACCGGGGCTGCTGGCGATTCCACCCCTGCTCACGTAGGAGCATGCTCCCGGCGAGGCACACCTGTGCTCAATTAGCAGAACCATACTTTAGCACGGCGCTGGTGTGTCCTCGTCACCAGATGATCTCTCATTCTTCTACTGACGACTACACATATTACACGTCCTGGATCCTGACGTCCACTGGTATCGAACTACCCTGGTAAATTCTTGTTGTCCACTGTGTTGACAATATGTTTTAAGTAATGATTTAAAAGTGTCTGAACTGATTACCGAGGAGTACCTTACAGAGGAGTTTCTTATGTTTTTTCTGAACTGATTACCAAGGAGTACTTTATGTTTTGTCTGAACTGTTTACGGAGGAGTGTTTTATGTTTTATTTTTCTGAACTGATTACGGAAGAGGGCTTTATCTTCTTGTTTGAACTGTTACCTGGTGCCACCTATATCTCTGTGGGACTTGCCGCCGATAGGAGATTGTTGTTTGGGGTCCGTGTCAAGTGCCTGGGCCAGCAAAGCGTGTGCGCTTGCTCCTGTCTGCATACCTCGGCCTGTGCTCAATTAGCAGAACCATACTTTAGCACGCTGGGATCCAAGCTTCTACCTTCTTCTTGGCCGCCACCGACCTGCTCTGCCGTCCACTGAGACTCCACATACTACACGCCAGCTCCTGCCTCCTAAGACTTCCTTCCCAGTCAGCCACGCTCTCCTGCCCTGAACCAGCAGTTCCCTATATGTAGGTCACCTGTGTTGTGCTCTATATTATCACACCCTTGTCTGCCTGTTGTCCCCCCTCTTAATCTCCTTCTCTGCTCTATATGCAGTGCCAAACCTCTCCTCCGACCCCGGGCGGCTCCTCCAATGGTCCAGTCATTTCAGCTGCCCCAACTGCCTGAGACCCACACCAGTAGCTCTGTGTCTGATACTCGCCACCTCCTTTTCTTTCCATACTCTGTCTAATAAATATCTTTCTCTGACCTGGGTTTGAGTCCTGCCTATTCCTGAGTCCAGTCACTCTGTTGGTGTGCGGCTTGCCATAACATGTACGGTGATTTCAGCTCAATACAGAGCCTTTGTTCTCTTGTTAGATGCTGATTTCACTTTGACCTGAACAGACATTCACATCCATGTACTTTAAACCATGACTGTAAAAGGTGCTTTCAGCCATGTATCCCAGAATGAGAGTATTAACAGTCTGAATATTAGAATTATTTTAGTGATTAAAGGTCATATTTAGCTTCTGAAACATGCTTCGGAAGGAGACAACACAGATGTGGCCATTTTTTTCATTCTTGTGGTGCAAACAGTACCTCCTGTGTGTCTGTCTTATCAACATATGGACTTGGAGTGATATACTTACAGCTCTCCACCAAACATCATTATGCAAAAGTATCTGTTTGTGTCTCTCCCTCTAGCTTTCCAGTATGAAGAGTTGGAAGGAAATGCGAAAGGAGATCCTGTATCTAACTGCAAATGCCACAGGGTCTCCAAAACAGACGTACCAGGCTGTGTCACGTATTGTCTGCGGACACCCTGAGGGAGGCGGCCTCAAAATCAAGTCTCTTAACTGGTATGAAGACAACAACTACAAGAACTTGTTTGGAAATAACGGTAACAACAGTGACAGTGAACCCATCTCCACTTACGACAACTCTTCCAGTAAGTGTACAAAGCTATTGGAGCAACTTTCTTTTATATTTTATACTTTTATCATAGTCCTTGTCAACCATTCACCATAGGAGACTGTCAAGAATTCAGACTCAAAATGTCTTTTTATTTAATTCCTAGCTCCTTATTGTAACAGCTTGATGCAGAATCTAGAGTCCAGCCCCATTTCTAGAATGATCTGGAGAGCCCTAAAGCCTCTGCTTGTGGGGAAGATCCTGTACACCCCAGATACCCCGGCAACACAGAGGATCATTCATGAGGTACAATCAGCCTCTCTTGTTTATGAAACCTACATCAGAATTATCATGTATGACCCATTAAATGACTGAGGATATCTGTGTGTGTGTTGCAGGTGAATAAGACCTTCCAGGAGCTGGGCGTGCTAAGGGACCTTGGAGGGATGTGGGAGGAATTAAAGCCTAAAATTTGGAACTTCATGGAGAATAGTGAGGAAATGGACTTGGTTAGGGTGAGTGGGATACACTAACATTATTCACATACACACACGAGAGCTGTGTTCTTAGTGTTCTTAGTGTTTACATGAGGGCTTTAATCTGGGACTAATGTGTAGTTATGTGTTTGACCATACAAATTCTTCAACAGGGGTCACTACCCAGAATATCTCAGTATGGGATGACTAAAATTGGAGATCAGTAAACTAAAAATAATTCAGCTGAAAACTGAGTTTAAGTAATTGAATTAACTAAAACAAAATGGAGCAAATCTGGTATTAAAATGTGGCTCTTGGCCTTATTTAATCGGTGTTCTTACTGTGATAGCATGAAACAGAGATAAGCACACAAAGTGTTGGTTTTCTTGCAATAGTTGACATACACTTGCAGTCATCCATGCATTTGTTTTCCCTGCTAGAACTCTTGCTTTCCTAAGGCTGCTCACATAAGTACTACTTCCACCTAGTGGTAAAAGGGTGTGATGATTAAATTCGCAAAAAATATTGAAAAAGTAAAAATGTGGATTATCTCTTTTTGTTAGGGATCAGCCAGCTTTTAGGGTTAAATGTATTACTGCAAGGTTTTTTTAAGTTCACAACCATTTGTTTAAATCTTGTTCCGTTGACAGGTTTGACATTCATTACTTTTGGGCAGTATTTAATTAATTAGATTGCTGTTTGTGCTATTTTATTCTGTCATGATATCATTTCCTCTCTCCTGAGAAACAGGAAACTGGTTGATATAATTGATATACAAGAGATAATTTGTGAAAGCTTTTAAAAGGATCTCAGAAAATCAAATGATAGTAAAATAGATTGCATGCCACACAAAGAGGTCCACACATATAGAGTGCAGCAGGAAAAAACAAGCCTGAAGGCATACAGTGATTATTGCACTCTTTATTTATTTAGACCTGCATTTTACAGAAGAAAAGAAAGGATGTTAATAAGGATTTTAAAGTCCACTGACTAGGGTTGAATACTTCCCCTACAACTGGTACTAACATGCAAACATACTTTAGTAATATAACATGTTATAGTTATATGCTTTTTAAAAAAATCATGTTTATAATTCTGTTTATTGTTTAATTATGTTTATTATCTAATGCTGCAATCCAGCTCAATTAACTGGCACAGCCTCCTGCAATAAAAAAAGACCCTTTTGTTTTCATTTCTTTGAGGGTCATTGTAGCTGATAATAGTTAGTGTGTAATTCTGTAATACTTGAAGGTGTGATATTTTCTGAGACGGTCATCATACTGAGAAAATCTCATACCACTACAGCCCTACTACTGACAGTAACAATAACTCTAAATTTTCCATTTTGCAGACCCTTCTCCAGAATAGTGCCAGCGCTGCATTCCTTAATGCCCAGCTCAGTGAGACTGAGTGGCGCGTGTCTGATGTGTCGAACTTCCTTTCCAAGGCCTCGGAGGGCCGCAGGCCTACAGCATTCAACTACACTTGGATGAATGTCTTCGACGAAGCTGACCAGGCTATACAGACCATTTCTCGCTTCATGGAGGTTAGTGTGTGTTAGTGAGAGATGTGGAATGTACAACAGAAAAAAAAAACATCTGAAAATGTGAACAAATAAATGTGTGTAATGAGGGTGTATGTCCCTTTCCCCGGGAAACATATTCAGTGCATAAAATGCAAATCCAATTTTTACCTTAAGAGAAATGTGAATGCAGAGCATGGTGTGTTTTCACATGGCTGGCTCAGTCTGTGTACGTTTTCAAAGTCAGTGCCAATAAGCCCATATTTGTACACGTCTTAAGTTCTGTGTTTAAAAATAGTTGTTACCCAATATCGTCCATTCAGGCCAAGACACAAAGTGCATCTAGTGGAGAAATAGGTTAAATGCCAATTGCCCATTTAGGTCAGTGCATTACAGTCTTCCACTAGCTTCTCTTCTTTTTAATGCACTTTAAAACTGCATTTCGATCTTGGCAAAGCTATTAAAAGCTTGAAATCAAGAGTTCTTTCCCCTCCCTTCCCTCATCAAATAATAATCATTGCCATGGTGAGTGTGTCACTGCTCCCTGTCTCCGCATATTGGGCCAGTGTGCGTGATCATAATTAGCCTTATACTCTTGTGAAACGTTAATCAATTCATGCCCCAGTAAAAGAGCAGTTTTCTCATTTATCTGTGTCAGGGATTTCTTCATTGATATGTCTATAAACAAAACTTGTTTCTGTGGTAAATGATCTAGCGGTGACTTAATTATGTTTGCATTCCAAAGACTGATGACTGACAGATAATTGATAATAATAAAATGATGATTCTCTAAATATAATGGAAGATTTTAATGCGGTTTTGAATTTTTTGTCCATACACTCCCCTCAATCACCTCCTCCCTCTAACCACTGTGGGAATGTTAAACCCAAATTTGAGGCAAGTTAGATCATACTTGTCACACAAATATCAAATCAAATTAATTTTCTCAGTGTTGCCAGTGTAATGCCAGACAGCCCAGTGACCTTCACATTGAGATCATAAAAATGTGTGTAAACTGATCTTTTTCACATTAGAAACTATGTCAAGGCTTTACATAAAAAGAATGTCATGCCTATAGCATTAGGAATCATATTTCATAATAGTGGCTTCTCACACAATGAGTATGAGGGGGTGGGGTATGAGTCAGTTCCTGTAAATATGTGAAAGGCTAGTCTGTAAGAGGTCTCAGCAAATCAGCTCAACAAATGCGGTTTGGTTACTCAGTGTCAACCCAAGGCATGTGATTGTAATATCTGTGAGAAAATCATGTGATTGAGCAGGATTTTGTTACAGTCTTTGTGAATTAGGACCATATTGTGACATATTCTGATTCTGATTCATACTGCATTGATATTTTAATTACTATTGTTCTTTTGTCTCTCTAGAAAACATCCTCCATCTTATCTGTTGTCCTTTTCCACCTTTCTTTAGCTTTATTCAGACCGTTTGTATTATAGCTTACATCAGCTAATGCAGAAGCAACATTGTTTTTAGCCAAACTGATCAAAATAAGGCATAAATCCACTCTGTCTCCTTCAGTGTGTGAACCTGGACAAACTGGAGCCAGTAGCTAATGAGGAACGGTTGGTCAACAAGTCCATGGGTCTTCTAGACAACCAGAAGTTCTGGGCAGGAATCGTGTTCCCTCATATTTCCCGCAGCAACAGCACTGACCTACCTCCTAATGTTGACTACAAGATCCGCATGGACATTGATAATGTGGAGAGGACAAACAAGATTAGAGATGGGTAGGTGAATGTGGTCAATAAGCAGCTACTATTTAAACACAGATCCTTTGCAAGTTTTTACATAGTTATTTTGTCTTAAGCTCACCAATATTCATTTTGCTTTGCAGCTACTGGGACCCTGGTCCCAGGGCAGACCCCTTCGAGGACCTTCGGTACATCTGGGGTGGATTTTCCTATCTGCAGGATGTCATTGAGCAGGGAATCATCAGAGCTGTCACTGGCACCAAGGAAAGGACAGGCATCTACATTCAGCAGATGCCGTACCCCTGCTATGTCGATGACATGTAAGTGAAGACAGTGGGAAGAAAATCTTAAAATCTGTCCCTGCACAGGTTCCTGAAAGGGTCTGGGACTAATTTGTCTTGCTTTTTCCACAGTTTCCTGCGTGTAATGAGTCGGTCGATGCCACTCTTCATGACCTTGGCGTGGCTGTACTCAGTAGCCATCATCATCAAGGGAGTTGTGTATGAAAAAGAGGCACGGCTCAAGGAAACCATGAGGATCATGGGACTGAACAATGGCATCCTGTGGCTCAGTTGGTTCATCAGCAGTTTGATACCCATACTCATCAGCGCTGGTTTGCTGGTGATGTTACTGAAGGTTGGTGTTGGACTTAGGTACATGTGCATACAGAGTGTCATCAGACAGTAATGTCCACAAATTGTTAAGTACGTGAATGTACTCCTGCTGCTGGTGTTTAGACATGACATTTAATGTGATAGTTACAATGTTTTTCTATGATCACAGCAATTCATTGTCGAGAAATGTCATCAAATTGTGCAAAACAAGTGATGTCATAGTGCTGTAACCAGGAAACTCTTTAACTTTATTTTCTTTTTTCACTGTCATCCTCCTCAGATGGGCAACCTGCTGCCTTACAGCGACTCAGGAGTGGTGTTTTTTTTCCTAAGCTCATTTGGCATAGTAACCATAATGCAGTGTTTCCTCATCAGCACACTGTTTTCTCGTGCCAACCTGGCTGCTGCCTGCGGTGGAATCATCTATTTCATTCTCTACCTGCCCTATGTGCTGTGTGTCGCCTGGCAGGACTACGTGGGCTTTGCAGCAAAATTTGTAGTGGTGTGTTAAAAAACTTTAGTAATACACATAAATACATACATGAACACTCAGTATTGTGTGTTGAGTGTCCTTACTTATACACCTATATATTTGGTAGTCGGTTATTTTTCTCTCTACCTAAACTTTTGTTTCTCTATTCTTCGCTCAGAGTCTCCTGTCTCCTGTTGCTTTTGGTTTTGGCTGTGAGTACCTTGCCCTGTTTGAGGAGCAAGGGGTGGGCATCCAGTGGTCGAATTTGCTGACTAGTCCTCTGGAGGAAGACAGCTACAACCTTACCACATCTATCTGCCTCATGCTGTTTGATGCTGTGCTGTATGGAATAATGACATGGTACTTTGAAGCTGTGTTTCCTGGTGAGCCATGGACAAACTTTATTATTGCAGGTTTTTTATATGTACTGCAGCGTGACTAATGAGTTCTTTCAAGGTTGTGTTGTTTTTTCTTTTTGGACTATATGAGAAACAAAACCATTCACTCTGTTCTAGGCCAGTATGGGATCCCCAGGCCCTGGTACTTCCCTTTCACTAAGACATACTGGTGTGGAGAGGAAGAGAACAAGAACATTTCTTCTTCTCTGTCAAATAAGGACAATGCTGAAGGTACAGATGACAATCATCATTATAACTATTTATTTGTCTTTTGTTTTAGGGAAGAATTTTCGGATAAACCAAGAAGTGTTGTCAAACGTTTATAGTAATGATGGATGATGCCTTTCTTTTGTTGTCTTACCTAACCCCAGCTTATGTCATTGCTAAAATGCTGGTGTCCTCATCTTTATTTTATCCACAGCAGTGTGCATTGAGGAAGAGCCAAGCCATATCGATCCAGGTGTTTATATTGAGAACTTGGTGAAGATCTACAGCAACGGAAACAAACTGGCTGTAGATGGACTGAGCCTGAGGTTCTATGAAGGACAGATTACCTCCTTCCTCGGACACAATGGAGCTGGCAAGACCACAACTATGTAAGAAAATACACACACTAGAGGTAGAACTACAATATTCCAAGAGAGAGGTGGGGATTTTAAATCTAATCAGTTGAGGCAGTGATTGACTGTTGCATCCCCGCCTGGTTTCTGATAGGTCGATCCTGACGGGGTTGTTCCCACCCACCTCTGGTACAGCCTACATCCTCGGCAAGGATATCCGCACCGAACTCAGCACCATCCGGCAGAACCTGGGCGTCTGCCCCCAGCACAATGTCCTTTTCAGCATGTACGTATGCGGCAGGAACTGAATTCTCAGCCCATTTGTAGAGTGTGTTAACTGTGTTTAACTGAGGGACTTGCTGGTTTGCTGTAATCCAGGTTGACGGTTGAGGAACACATCTGGTTCTATGCTCGTCTGAAGGGGCTGCCAAAGGAGAAGGTGAAGGCTGAAATGGAGCAGATTGTGAATGATGTTGGACTGCCTCACAAACGACAGTCCCGCACCAGCACGCTGTCTGGTTAGTCCGGTTATTTTCAGTTTTTAACCTTTTTGTTATTCTACAAGTAATACTGGACATGTTTTACAGGGGAGATTTCCACATACTGTCATTCTTACTTTATCTTCATGTTGTCTTGGTAGGTGGGATGCAGAGGAAGCTGTCAGTGGCCTTGGCTTTTGTTGGAGGCTCAAAAGTTGTGATCCTGGATGAACCTACTGCTGGGGTTGATCCTTATGCACGCAGGGGCATCTGGGACCTGCTGCTTAAATACAGACAAGGTAAACATAGCTGATGGCTGGATCGTAGTCATACAGCATGTATTACTTCTTTTTAGTACTTGATGGATTTAATTCTGTGCTTTATAAGCTGAAAGTGTTTGTCTCTCTGTCAGGCCGTACCATCATCCTGTCCACTCATCATATGGACGAGGCTGACATCCTGGGTGACCGCATCGCCATCATTTCCCACGGCAGGCTGTGCTGCGTAGGCTCCTCACTCTTCCTGAAGACTCATCTGGGCACAGGCTACTATCTGACCCTGGTCAAGAGGGACTATGACTTAACCCTTCAGTCCTGCAGGAATTCTGCTAGCACCGTCTCCTACAGCAAGAAAACAGAAAAGGTAAAAGAGATGTAATGGACAATGTTAGAAATTAGGTTTTTAACAGATAAATGCTCTCACTTCTAATGTTGTTACAATTAATTGTGTGTCATTCTTTCACATTGTACTCAAAATCAAGGATGTGTATTTATACAATGAAAAGTTTTTTTTTCTTATGACACATTCTAGAGTTTAATTGGTAAAAAGAGTAAAAAAATGGAAAGGCACTGTGACTCAGTCAGGATGAAATCAAATATTTAATTCAGTCTTGCTTACTCTCTCTGCCTTGGATGCAGGAGGATAGCGTATCAGAGAGCAGTTCAGATGCTGGTCTGGGCAGTGAACCAGACAGTGAAACCACCACTATTGGTAAGAGCTGACAATGAATTGGCTACCTTAAAGGTGGACAGATTTTTTCCTGTAAATTAAACTTCGCAAAGACATGAGATATTGATGTCTTTTATTGCCTCTCACAAATCTCCTCCCATTTTTTTTCCTACAGATGTCTCCCTTATCTCTAAGGTGATTTTCAAGCATGTCACCGAGGCTCGCCTAGTGGAGGATCTCGGACATGAGCTTACGTACATCTTGCCCTACCAGTCTGCTAAAAACGGAGCCTTTGTAGAACTCTTCCATGAGCTGGATGACCGACTCACCACCCTGGGAATATCCAGCTATGGCATATCTGATACAACCCTGGAAGAAGTAAGGAGCACTAAAGAGCTTTCACCCCTTTGTGTCTAGCCTGAGTTGGCCTTTCATAGTAAACCTCGTCGCAAGCAGAAGGAATCTAATATATGTTTTTTGTTTTATTTTTGGCTTACATGCCTCAGTAGCCAGTTGCCATCTGTTTTCTATTTAGCCAATGTTTTAATCTTGTGTCTGCAGATTTTCTTGAAAGTGGCTAAGGACACTGGAGTGGATTCTGTTGAGCTTTCAGGTGAGATTCATGATGTATTTTCCAGTGCAGTAATTATGTAAGATTCACAGTAATTACATACCAAACATCTTGTATTTGATAAATATTAACACCCTTCTGATCTATATGAAAGAATCGGTTTTGGATAGTGTTCAGTTGAATACATCAGACATTCTTGAATGAGAATGAACAGGGATTAATGAGGGATCTCATTTTGAACAAAAGGTGCAGACATGAAATTCAGTTTAAATTCAGATGGTAACCCTCCTGCAGATGGAGTCATACCAACCAGGACCCGTCGCCGTCATGCATTTGGAGATCACCAGAGCTGCCTGAAGCCTTTCACTGAAGATGACTTTGATTTAAACGACTCTGAAGGTGACCCAGGTAAACCTGCAGTACCAAGCATGCAGTGTAAACATAGTAGCAGTCTTGTTGCTGTCACTGGCGGAGTATTTTACTCTTGTGTTTGTACCTAAAGGTGTATTTCTCAAAAAAAAAAATGAAAACACATCATATTTCAGATTTTTAATTGGGAAAAGTGCAGTTCCTTCCTGTTTGAAGGAAATTTGTTTTATATTGCAAAAATCAGATGTGGCATTATGTTTTCAATTGCATGCATTCAAGCACTACTGACAGTTTATTAGTGCAATTACAAACTCAGAACAGACAATTAGCATGATGCAAGTTTGCTCATCAGCGTCATGGTGTCTGTGCACAGAATCCCGTGAGACCGACTGGCTCAGTGGAACAGATGGCAAAGGTTCATACCAGGTTAAAGGCTGGAGTCTGAAGAGACAACAGTTTGTTGCACTACTCTGGAAAAGATTTCTTTATGCTCGGCGCTCCAGGAAAGGCTTCTTTGCTCAGGTATGCTGATAGTATTTTCATATACTCATACTGTATGTATAGAGGTGGCCAATGTAGACTGTAGGATTCTCATTGTTTTTTCTCAGTCATACAGGATTTTCTTAACAGTCAGTTAACATTCCTATTACAATATGCCTCTTATCTTGCGTGTTAGATGTAATAAATGTCATGCCATTGTTTTTCAGATTGTCCTCCCAGCAGTGTTTGTATGTATTGCCCTGGTGTTTAGCCTGATTGTGCCTCCATTTGGAAAGCACCAAAGTCTGGCACTGGATCCCAGCATGTATGGAGAACAGTACACCTTCATCAGGTTAGATATCTTTCTCTTTGGCCAGAACAATTACATGTCTTTTCATACATTTATCTCTAATTCTTGCACAATTCTTGATGTTTTTCTGATTTTATATATTCTTTGCATGATACCAGCTAACCAGTTATCTGTCAAAGCACTTTTTAGTCTTCAGTGCACTTTAATCAACTCTGTCACGTATGAATTAATGAAACACCAACTTGGAAAGATAAGAACAAGTGCAGTACACACACCAGACTGGCAGGCAGGCAGATTATACCTCAGGGATTCACAGTAATGTGTAGTGGAGTAAACTAAACACAATTCACACATTTAGTTTCAAACAATGGGTATGCCAATCCATTATTACCGGTGTCCAGTTGATTGCACTTATCTAAAACTATAAAAGCACCTTTTGTGTTATTTTATGGGTTCTGTGTGTCTTTGTAGTAATGACATACCTGAGGATCCTTACACCAATAAACTACTGGCAGCTCTGACCGAAAAACCAGGATTCGGAACACGTTGCATGAAAGGAGAACCCATAGAGTAAGTTATTTATTTTTCATCTAATTTCCTGTAAAATAGAAGAAATGTGAACATAGCCAGCGTTTTGGGAAATAAAACTTTATAGATCTACAGTAGACCTACTACAGTTTTAGTAACTCACAAATATAGCATGTTCCACATAAAATGGATATTTGTGGTTTCACAAACTTTTCTCTCCCTGTGCTCCAGGAACGCTCCCTGCACCGCAGTGGAGGATGAGTGGAGGGTCCCGCAGGTCTCCCAGAGTGTGAAGGACCTGTTTGACAAAGGGAACTGGAGCATGGCGAATCCCTCTCCCATGTGTGAGTGCAGCTGTGAAGGGCGCAAGAAGATGCTGCCGGAGTGTCCGCCAGGTGCTGGAGGACTTCCACCACCACAGGTCGGTGACACTAAAGCATTAATCAATAAAAATTAGAAAAGTAAGGACTAAACAACCTTACACTGAGGACACTGTCTTTCTTTTTTCTTTTATTCATACAAAAACATTTAAATCAATAAGCACACATTAATTAAATGTTGTCTGTTTTCCAGATGAAGATCAGCGAGAAAGAGACACTTCAGAATTTAACTGGCAGAAATGTCTCAGACTATCTGGTTAAAACCTACGCTCAGATTATTGGCAAGAGGTAACACTCATTTTATTATTTACTAGTTTGTGTAATAGTTCCTGCTAGATTTTTATTTACTCTCATTCAAGAAAGCATTAATCACTGAATGGTTTTTCTTCTCTGACAGCCTGAAGAACCAGGTCTGGGTCAACGAGTTCAGGTACATTACATCTTGAGCTTATGATTATATTCATAATATTGAACTACGGTCACTGTGCCATGTCCTTCACTGATATTAAAACAATCACGCTGTCCACAGATATGGTGGATTCTCACTGGGTGCCAGGAGTTCTCAGCTTCTGTCCCACAGAGATGAAATTGATGATGCGATCGCTCAGCTGAGGATGCGCTTCCGTCTGGAGAGAGTAAGAGATTTTATTTTGTTATTATTTTACATACTACATCAAGCTGGTCTGTTAGAAGACTGTTACACAAGAAAAAATCTGGAAGCTTTTTACTACTTTGGTTGAGCCCAAGTAAAAGGACACAAACATCTATCACATCAAAAAGTGACAAATACTTACATTTCTACAGTATGTTGTAATAATTACAGCTGCAGTGAACTTGATAGCTGTGTCATTACAGGTTTGAGTAGTGTCACTTTCCACATGTGCTAAAGAAGACTGTGTCTCTCCCACCCTCCCTCTTTCTCTGCCTCACCCACCCTCCACCCTCCAGGGAACTGCATCAGACCGTTTCTTTCGCAGTCTGTCCAGTTTTATGAAAGGACTGGACACCAAGAATAACGTCAAGGTCAGAACACACACACTCACATGTGCTCACTCTGTTACACCCATGTAGAGCTAATATGCTTCACTCATTCCATTCATATTGTGTAATTTGATTGTGTAAGAGGTCATTTTTGCACTGTTAGTTCACAGACAAACCCAATTACACTTGCAATATTTCTGGAAATACAGAAAAAGCACATTAAGATTGAACAAAGAAAGAGAGAAAATGGGCTAAAGATGGAAACAGAGTAATTCCACTTTTTATTCAGATTTATGGCTTCAACTAATCACCAGGCTCCTAATTTTCTCCCGGGCTGCTTTGTTTGTCCTTTGACGCTCCAGAAGCTAAAATCGGCCTCTCTTGTTTCCAGATCTGGTTTAACAACAAGGGCTGGCACAGCATTGGCTCTTTCCTAAATGTGATGAACAACGGTATCCTGCGGGCAAGTCTGCCAGCCGGCAAAGACCCCACAAAGTTCGGTATCACTGCCTACAATCACCCTCTCAACCTCACCAAGGAGCAGCTGTCACAGGTTGCACTGTGAGTATTGTGCTGTGTGGGGATACATTTAAAAATTGTACCTTCTCTGAGATTTTCTCACATATAGCATTTCTCATGTTCATTGCTTCCTCACTCTCTTCTCCCTCTCTCAGGATGACAACATCAGTGGATGTGTTGGTGTCCATCTGCGTGATCTTCGCTATGTCCTTTGTACCTGCCAGTTTTGTGGTTTTCCTCATCCAGGAGAGAGTGAACAAGGCCAAACACATGCAGTTCATCAGCGGAGTGCAGCCCTTCCTTTACTGGCTGGCTAACTTTGTCTGGGATATGGTAAGATGTTTAAGTCAAGCTGGACTCAGTAATGTAGTGGTAGACTGACAAAATAGTCAAAATATCCCCATATTATATATTTCTGTGTAATCTTAATAGAAAATGCAGTGCAATAAAATATGCCGAAGCCTTTTTTAAACCTTCTTTCTCTTGGTCTTTTGCAGTGTAACTACATCGTCCCGGCCACACTGGTTATCATAATCTTTGTGTGTTTCCAACAAGAAGCCTACGTCTCTTCCACCAACCTGCCTGTGCTGGCCCTGCTACTGCTGCTCTATGGGTGAGTTTGACACAAATTCCGCTTCTTTGGCTCTTCATTTCATATTGGTCTCTTTTTTATTTAACCTCTTTTCATCTAATGTTGTGTCTCCTTCCAGATGGTCTATCACCCCACTGATGTACCCAGCCTCGTTCTTCTTTAAGATCCCCAGCACAGCCTACGTGGTTCTGACCAGCATTAATATACTTATTGGAATCAATGGCAGCGTCTCCACATTTGTACTGGAGATCTTTGGAAGCAATGTAAATATTTCAATGATTGGTGAAGCAAAAATGTGTAAAATTAGATTTTATTTATTTATTTTTTTAATTAAATTGAAAAATAATTGTGTACACATGCTTAACCAATCTGGATTATATATTGAAGATGTATGTTATGTTTTGTCACTTTTAGGAGGTCGGTGGTGTCAATGACATCCTGAAGAACGTGTTCCTTATATTCCCTCACTTCTGTTTGGGCAGAGGATTGATTGACATGGTGAAGAATCAGGCAATGGCTGATGCTTTGGAGAGATTTGGTAAGCACAACAGACCTCTGTTAACAACTGCTGTGAATACTCGTCAGCTTGCCACAATATTTTAGAGTATTCAACCTTGTTGACTAATCTTTGAGCGCCCACCTGCTGTAGAACCCACAACACAGCACAGACTTGCTTTACAGCCTTACCACAAATTTGTAATCAACCTCAGACATATTTTCTGCTCATAATTTAGCTCTGCTCAACCGGCGTCTGTTAACTTATAACTTTTAGAACCCAATAGGCTGTATCATAATCACTTAAACATCAGACATATGAAAATAACATCAATCAACAACATGAGTGTATCCTGTAAACATTTAAAACAAGTTATTTACATCCGTGTTAGTAAGTAATGGTGTTAGTGTTAGTGATCGCAGCGGTCTTCCACCACCTGTCAGAATAAAGCAAGTTATTCAGCTCCCCTTCACACAAATTCTTGGAGGACAGTCAATATAGGAGATTAAATTTAAAATTCTCCCACCTTAGGCTCCTACCTGCAGAGACAACACCAAGGTTTGTCATGGCTAGAATGTGATACCGACTAAATTAATTCAGACAGATCATCCCAATTTAAGTAATCATTTAATATTACAATTATTCTGAACAGAGTAGTAGTTAAATAGGTAATCTGGTAGTTAGGGAACCGAGAACAGAATCACTCCTCCTGCAATGGGATAGGTACAGTATTAAATAAGAAGATTGTCACAGAGTCAGTCAGTCAGTCTTGGTCACCGGGTCCCCCCGGCCAGCCAGGTTTACCCAGGCCCCGGTCCCAAAGAGCACACAGTACTGTCACAGTAGCATTCTCATCCTTTCTTCTTCCCTACACCTTTCTGCCTCACTGTTTTATCCACAGCTTTCTTTAGGCCAGTGGTTCTCAAACATTTTTTGTCATTCCCCACTTAAGAGGGTGGGTGAATCTTCAAGCCCTACTTGTCAAAAAATTATAACGAAATTGGCCAATTTTAAAATAACAAATTTATTGAAATATCAAATAACACAGAGTTCAAAACAGATAAAATATAAGTGCAACTGTATCGTTTGACAGAGGGATAGTTTTCAATTTTGCAGCACTTGTCTCATCCAGCATAATTGACACTATGTCTACAGCAGCAGGGAGAATGATCTGCTCAGCAATTGTGTGTGTTTTTTTGCACTGTGCAATTCTGTATGCAACTTTGAAGGAAGCTATTAGTGCTTTGCTGTTCACTGATGTGGATTTTACCATTTTTCTGCTGACGGTTTTCTGCCGTTCGAGTGGCTCATTAACGTGACTGGGGTGTGTTGTCTCTTAATGTCTTCTTAATCTGTTGGGTCTCATACTGTCTGCTGCCAGCGGCTTAAGACACAAGACACACATAGGTCCCTCCTCTGCCCCCCCATTCCCAGAGTGAATCCAAGCACAAGATAGGCTTCATCATATTTTCTTTTCGGCTGGCTTTTTGGTTGATAAGGCTACTGCCTGTCGTTTTTTTTGTCTGCTTGTGCTGAATCGCCTACTTTTTTTGTGGTCCATGTAACAAATTTATCCATTTACGTTATTATGCCTACTACGTACACTATTGGCCCTTTCTGTGAACGTTTCCTTATATTGTTGCGCGGCAGTTAACATGCCAACATTAAACCGTTATTGTTGCACTATGGTTCCACTTTTTTCTCCCGGGCCTCGAACTCAAATTTTCTCCGTTCATTGCGCCCCACCTGTCATGTCTTTATTCCCCACTAGTGGGGCGCACCCCACACTTTGAGAACCACGGCTTTAGGCTGTTAAGTCAATTTGAACTTAGCTTCCTGTCTCCAGTTTTAGGAGACAACACCCTGAGACGTACCCCAAAACAGGAAACATCTTGACCAAATTATATAAGCTCATTGTTCAGCTCAAATGAACTTAAAAGTGAACACACAAACACATTATTCTACTACATAATCCATATTAACATGTAACTTAAACCACTACACAGGAAAAAAAAACATGTATCAGTGGTTTTGACAAAGGAATTTTTCTAAAAGTGCTGATATGGCGGTTGTGTTGCAGGTGAAAACAGGTTCCGCTCCCCTCTGGCTTGGGACATGGTGGGAAAGAATCTGTTCGCAATGGCCATTGAGGGCATTATCTTCTTCTGTATCACCGTCCTCATTCAGTATCGCTTCTTCTTCAAGGCCAGGTGGGTGAAACCTGCCTTCTGGTTATATACATGTGTGATCAGCCAGCTTTAAAATTCTACAAATTGACTGAAAGTTCCTCTCCATGCATCACTAAAACCTTGCAACTGAAAACAGTTAAGGCATTTGGATTTAAATTCTTACTGGGAGAAGGATTCTACCAAAGCCTGTGTCAAACTGTGTTTAAATGTGCTGTGCTTCTTGTGTTCTTCCAGCTCATCCACCAGTCATCTGAAGCCTATTGGAGAGGAAGATGAAGATGTGGCCCGAGAGCGACAGAGGATCCTGAGTGGAAGAGGACAGACCGACATCCTGGAGCTCCGACAGCTCACCAAGGTTTACAAGCGCAAGCAGAAGCCAGCGGTGGACCGGCTGTGTGTCGGCATCCCCCCTGGAGAGGTATAGATACACTATATTATACCTGTTCTAGCTGCCATACTGTTGTCCAGACCATCAGGAAAAGTTTCCTTACTAGTTAAACAGTTTAATGTTTAATGCTACATTGCCTCTCTTTTCCTGCAGTGCTTTGGTTTGCTGGGGGTGAATGGAGCCGGGAAAACGAGCACCTTTAAAATGCTGACAGGAGACTCTGTGGTCACGAGTGGAGAAGCCTACTTGGTTGGCAAAAGGTAAGGACACATCATAGCACAAAATACACAGTGCAATAAAGCAAGTCCATCCCCCTCCTGGTTGAGAAAATGGCTTGAATCAGCTTTTCTTTTCTGTATGTGTTTCAGCTTAGTAAAAAAAAAACAAGGCTAAATCTATTTTTACACATGCTCTTTTGCTTTTTATAAAACCTAATCATACTGTTCTTCCTGTCTCACTATAGTGTGACTACAGAGATAGATGAAGTGCATCAGAATATGGGATACTGTCCTCAGTTTGACGCTATCAACGACCTGCTGACTGGCAGAGAACATCTCGAGTTCTACGCCATCCTGAGAGGGGTGCCTGAGAAGGAAGTGTGTGAGGTCAGGAAAAGTGCAAACATAAACCTACACACGAGAAAAAAATCCAAGATTCATGGTGCCTTGGATTTTGTTCTCTTGCGCTTGTTTCTGTAGAGTGTGGTATTTAAGAAAACCTTTGATTAAAAGACATACTGTATCTACTACAGTATATACGGATGACCCTGAAAACTTCATTGTGTCTAGGTGGCAGAGTGGGGAATTCGGAAGCTGGGGTTGGTCAAATATGTGGACAAAGCGGCAGGCAGCTACAGCGGAGGAAACATGAGGAAGCTGTCTACTGCCATCGCTCTCATAGGAGGACCACCCGTTGTGTTCCTGGTCAGTGCCAACAATTATTTTTCATAAAGATGGAGAGCAGGTTAAACCCGGGATTTCCTACAGACAGTGGATTGTAGCAGCAATCTTGAGTATCTGTTGTTTCCTGTTAACAGGATGAACCGACAACAGGCATGGACCCTAAGGCACGTCGTGCCTTGTGGAACACAATCCTTGGCATTATCAAAGAGGGACGATCTGTAGTCCTCACCTCTCACAGGTTAGACCAGGCAACAGAATTACATCTATTCTATTTAAATATATAATATAATTGTGTATATAATCAAACCATGAACCATTGTTGTATGTCTTCACAGTATGGAGGAGTGTGAAGCACTATGCACTAGGATGGCCATCATGGTCAATGGCAGGTTCCGCTGTCTGGGCAGTGTGCAGCACCTCAAGAACAGGTAGGGCCAAAACGACTGCCAATCACCAAGAAACGTAATAAGAAATGAAATTATTTTCACATTACCTCTTCAGCTTCATGACATATGCTTTGTTGTATTCTTCTCAGGTTTGGACATGGCTACACCATCATCCTACGGGTGGCGGGGCCAAACCCAGACCTTCGGCCAGTGATGGAGTTCATTAAGCGAGAACTGCCTAGCAGCACACTGAAGGAGAAACACCGCAACATGCTGCAATACCAGCTGCCCTCATCCCTCACCTCCCTCGCCCGCATCTTCTCCCTGCTCTCCAAGAATAAAGAGGCACTCAGCATAGAGGACTACTCTGTCTCTCAGACCACTCTAGACCAAGTAAGCAAGTTTACCCAATGCTCTGACTATAACTGAGCTGTGTCTTAAGTTTAGTCTGGGTCTAATTTCCCCTTTCCTTCCCCCTGCAGGTGTTTGTAAATTTTGCCAAGGACCAAAGTGACGAGGACCATTTGAAAGATGTCAGTCTGAACAAGCGGGACGCTGTGGTAGTGGACATTTCCCAGCTAAATTCCTTTCTCACGGACAACAAGACCAAGGAGAGTTGTGTCTGATTCTTGACATACCATCAGTGGGAGATGCTATGCTTCACCCACCCTCCCCCATGCCAGAAAATATGGACCACTAACCTGAGGGGAAGACAAACTGTTTATTTTTTAATTTCTATTTTTTAGTCTTTTTAATTATCATTTCTCAGTGGACCTGCCCATCAGTGCACAGCCTCTTGAAAAGGCAGAGACAGCAGGTATTGTGACAGACACTGAAGCAATGAAAACTCAATGCAAATCAATGCAAGAAACATAGAAATATATTTAATTTAAGATTTTCCTGTGAAGGTTGGAGACTGGTGCTTCTCCTTCACTAGACGGATAGAAAGAAAGACGAGACTCAGAACACTTGACGGGACAGCAGGATTTTCAAACTGTGTTAGTCAGCAGGCAAGGCATCGGGGATGATAGAAAGAAATATCTGTAGTCTTTGAATCCCCGTACCTATAAATAGTTCACAGTAGTCAATGGGACTGTATGTGTGCTACTCTGTATTGTGAAATCTCAAATGCGCAAAACAAAAAAAGAAGTTCAGATCATTCACTGCCAACTGCTAGAGGATGGACTGACTACTTTTTTATGCAGGGTCAAACCTCTCTTGATCTCATGTTGTGACCAAGTGCAGTTGTTTTATACCGCAAGTGATGGTTCAAAAAAGCATTTACAATCTGAATAGAGTCAGAAACGTACAATCACACAACGAATTCATTTTTACTAATTAGATTTTTAAAAATTTAATTCTACTAGGCAAACATTTAACCCCTTTTTATCTTCTATCCTTTTGTTTTTTATAATAATTGAGATTGCTAACCAAACGGTATTTTTTTTATTTGTTGTTCTTGGTCTCCTTGACATTGTCCAGCACAGTGCCTCTATACTATATAATGGTGGAGAGAGAAATGCGAGCACTTTGTTATAAACAACAACATACGTAGGCTGCCGAGGAATGTATGAAGCAGACACCGACAATGCATCAAAGCACAAAAATGAGCGTTTTGTGAAGATGATCAGTGAAACATGACTGTTTGTTAAAAATTGTCCCTTGTCAAAAAAGAAAAAAAAAAAAAACGCAGTGGTTGTTTGATGTACAGTCTACTATACTGGCTTTTTTTTTCTTGCCCCTCCCTCTTTAAAAAGAACTGAATGCGAATTAGAACGGACAGAAGAAAGGTGAAGATTTGAAAGGTCATGGGAAATAGATACTGCATGATTTTGCACTGGGCCGCCCATCTGGACTGTGTGCTAAGGCATGCTGTCAGATTGGAGCTAACTGTACTCTGCTTCATTGTTGTTAGATTTCTGGTGCATATATACATGTGGAGTCTAACACCCAAATTCTGTTGTAAAACAAAAGAGATAAGATTGTGTATCAAAATGTGTTTTTTCAATGAGGTGAATCCAATGTAAATGTTCTTGCAGGGCATCTTGTAGCTCCCTTACAAGAAGGAGACAGCTTCAGCTGCTCTGCTTGTGTGGGCTCTATAGATGGTACCCGCCCCACTAATATATGCTTTTGTCTGTTTATCTGCGCAGTGGGAGTGTTTTAGACCTGAGCCAGCACCGATACAGAGAGTATGTACAGTAGCAAGTGTGTGATTTTGAGTCAAAAAAGTTACCAGTGGAATGAACAAACAGCATCTGTGCCAAACTGATCTGATTATATATCTTTGATCAACCAGCATCATTTTGATGAAGCTTTGTAAAGTTTAAGTTGTGCTTTCTTGCTCTTTATCCATTGGCTCACACACAGAAGTCCTCCTTTTCTTACCTCCAAAAAAAAAGCTCATATGTAATATTTGTGCTGTCTTATTAAGGTGTCACTACACTGCAAGTTCTTTCTATCGTCTAGTGATGTTGCCAAATTCTAATCTTTCTGTCTGAGCATATTAATAAGCTGTCACACTGAAGGTAACTGTACTGTCAGTAACTCAAGTTCTAGACATCAGGTTTAAACGATGTTTCCAGAGTTAATAAGTCAGACTATACATAAACAGGGACCATGCTGATTAGATTTGTGTTTGTAATGCTTTGTATCCAGGGTTTAAACTGATTGTTATTACGGGTGCTCTGTGTCATACAAAATTTTTGAAGGGGTCTTCGTTGTCTTGGGGATCAAAGAACTGCTATGGGACTTCAGGTGTCATCTGCTGCCAACACTGAGAGCCCAGGCTTCTGTCCACCAAACCCCTCTGTTAAACATGAGCACTTTATAGGCTTAGTAGCCTTTTAGTTTTAAAAATGTATAAGTAGGGATTTGGGTATAGCAAATTTGACATTTGAAAACAAATCCCTGCACCAGAAGGTTGATATAAGATGGACAAAACTAAGCTACGCCGCTGAATCATTACATTTGTTTGAAACTTGAAATAGAGAACGAAGGATTACATGTGGTTGAGTGAAATGAGTGAATAGCAGAGGCAGTAGTGAAGTAAAGAGCAAAATGCAGGACAGTAAAAAGGTGGTGATTCTCTTCTTTTTGTGCTCAATATTATTATTTGTTTACATTTTTAAGTATTACACAGTTTGAGTCTGTTACCCATTATGTATAGTTACTCTTTACATTAATAAAAAAAAAAAATTACCATTAAAAGAGGACTCATTTTATTGTGATTTTTATTTATGTATTTATTTTTTGCCATAATAGTTGTCGTACATAGAAAAAACTTGTGGAAGGTTGTAGCTATTGACTGGGAGTGTGTGTGTGTTAATGTGTCCTTATCACTATGACTTTATAGACGGTGCATGTGATTGTGTGTCTATTATCACCTGCTGTGTTCTCACCCCACCCCGCCCCATACGACACACATTTATATTGCTGGTAAGAGCGGAGATGCATTCAGAGGCTCCTGTCACGCTGAGTTATTCATCAACCAACATCATGACTGGAAGAGTTGTTTTGCTGGGACTCCTGTTCATCTGTGTGGCTGCAGGTAATAAAGCAACAACACTTCATTTGAGGAATTTTTACGTTCTAGTTTGAGGGGTGTTTTAAGTCTATAAAGCAATTTTAAGCGATTACTGTTTACCATAGGGTTAAATTTGCCTATAAAAAGTTTTCACACCAACAGGAAGCTTTCTTGTTGAATCAAAATAAATTTCATGTGGCTTGTTTGACACAGATCATAAAAAAAAACCTTAATGTCAAAGTGATACGCATATACAGTATTTTTATAGGCAATCTACAGTATTTTATGTATTGACTTCTAGTAATATTACACATGAAAAATCATACAGTATATGTCAATATTACATAGCACTCATTGTCTTTCCCTGTATACAAATATCTTGACCATACATACAGGAAAATATGTATGATGACACAGATAAGTAGCAAATACAGTCAATATTACATGGCAGTAATATTTTCTGTCAGGTGGGTTGATTACTGTATATACTTGCATGTTAGCTGGTCATTACAGAGTGTTGTGCTTTATTTACAGATGACATGAGGAAGCTTGAGCTCATGAGAAAGGTGACATACTTATCTGTGTGTGTGTGTGTGTATGTGTGTGTGTACATGTCTTGTTCCTGCCTACAAATTTTACTTCAGTACTACCATTTGTACAAAAGGGTGTTTGATGGTTAATACTTTGGGCTAAGTTTAGAAATGGGACTAGACATTTATTTGTGATGGTTGGGGTAAAGGCCTAGGGAACTAGGGAATGGATTATGTCAGTGAGTGTCCTCCCAGCTATAAAAAGATAAATGTATGTGTGTGTAAGATAAGAAAATGCCATTTTAACAAATTAGTTTCAATGTTTTTTAATGAATCTAACATGTTATCAGGAGAGAATATGTTAGATTATAATGTTTTATTTTCTGGTAGCCTTCCTGTCCTGACGTAGCGGAGATTTTGGCATGCCCTATGAACTTTGCCCCTTTGTGTGGCAGCGATGGAAACACTTATGCCAATGAGTGTGCCATGTGTGTCCAAAGACAGTGAGTAAACAGTGCTGCTCCACTCTCTTGGCAATCATATATTAGTTAAAACATCACCTAAGCTGACTTTGTGGAGGAAAAGTGCTCAAGTCTCCCTCTGGTGGTGAAAGAATTTAAGGAGCTACATCTGCTGAGAGCAGCAGATGATTCAAATGGCTGGACGCTTTCAGATTTACCCTGTTATTCAGGTTTTCATTTATGGGGGATGAAGTAATGGTCACTAATCTTTACTGAAAACAATAGCTCTACCTTTTATGAGGAAGTAATATTGACACATATGTGTTTTTTTGATTGGTGGAAAGTAACTAAGTACATTTACTCATGTGCTGTACTTAAGTACAATTTAGAGGTATGGTACTTTGCTTGAGTATTTTCATTTTGTGCTACTTTGTACTTTGACCTCACTACATTTTAGAGGTAAATATACTTTTTACTCCATCACTTTCATTTTATAGTTACTAGCTAGTTTTCAGAATCATACTAATAAACAAATACAGCATAATCATGAGACTTTACTGAACTCCAGTGAAAAATTCACAAGCTACCCAGCATTAATGCAAATTACAAGCATATATCAGTTTTGCCAACTGCATCATATGTGATTTACACAATAATGCATCAGTAATTATAAACAAATAATATATGTTAATGTTTACTTTTAGTGCAAAATATATTTTGTTGCTAATACCTTAGTACTTAAGTAACCTTTTGAATGCATGACTTTTAATCATAATAGTGTATTTTTACGCTGTGATATCGCTACCTTTACTTAAATAAAGAACCTGAGTACTTCCTCCGCCAGTTTTTTAGCTCTAGATTTCAACAGACTGTGGGTTTGTGCTTTCACTACAGTGACAAAATTACTGACAAAACAATTTTACATTTTCAGTTAAATAAAATGATAAATATCTTGACAAGAGCCTATAGTTGACATTTTCATTATTATAATTTTCTTTATTTCATTCTTTTATTGTATAATTAATACATTTATTTACATTTTCTTAATCTAAATCTCTGAGGAATGTTTACTATGTTTAATGTTTTAGTTTCACATGTAAGTTTGCTAATATTTGGTCATTAGGACTAAAGTGCTGCTGAGGCTAATGGGGATGTCATGAGTTTTGCATCTGTTTTGTCACCTACCAAACTACTGAAGGACTGTAATTTTGATGTGATCTGTCCAGATGCAAAGTGAGGGGATTACAAAGAATAACACAATTTACCTTATGGAGTTATGAAAGTGTGAACCCAGTGTTATAGCAATCTATCAGAGAGTGGCCCTAGAGGAAATGTTAGGAGGACACCAAAGCCACTGGGATACATGCAGTAAATGTCTGTACAGTTTGATTCCATAAAGCAGAGGTTGAGATACTGTAGTCATTGTGGTATATTAAACCTCAGACAATGCCATGAATAGAACCATAGTGCTACTGTGTCTAAAAACTACTAGTGGTGGCTTTTATCGCTCTATAGCCAGCACTCTCTCAGCTGTCCTTAAAAAGATCATGTTGACGGGCCTCACTGTTTTCTACACTGACCTGAGCCAAAACAGAATGAACCACAGCCATGTCATGTCATAATTCTATTTGCAGAGTAACCAAGATGGACATCTTGATTGTCAAAGACGGGCAGTGCCACCAAGATGACTGAAGGGGATCTGATTATGAACATGGATCTTTGAATGGAAAACTGGATCCTAACTGTTCTAAATGTTTGTCTAATTGCCATGAGAAATAAACATCATTCAGCAGAAAACAGCATAACTTGTGAATTTTTTTAATCAATAAAATCTAAAATATCATTCAGTCTTACATTAATAAGACTGGATCATGTATAAAATAGATGCTAGAAATTAAAAGTTAAAGAAACAAATCTTGTAAATGTCATTTTTGAAAAAGTGATTTTGTGAATTAGGTAACATAAACATTCCTTTGTGAAGTGAAGCCAGAAGGTGAATGAACAGTTGGTTATCTCTGTGGCTGAGTTCTGTTTACATTTCTGTGATCGGTATGTGTGCAACACACATGGAGAGGGCAACGCAAAAGGTTAGAAATAAAGTCTTGCATCATGAGACCGAAGGTCAAATCTGAGTCATGTGACTAAAACCAGGAAATGGGGAAGCGGTATCAGACCACCATTGTTTCTTTTATTTTAGTTTGTTACAGCAGAGCAGAACCAAAGATTTGTTTATGGTTCAGTGAACTGACTTAGCAAGGATGATAAAAAACCAAGCAGAAAATGTGTGAGTACAGATTTAAATTATTTATTGTACTGTCAGAGACACTATTCTTTTACTTTGTTGCCAACAGCTGTGAGTTGCTGGAGAAAAAAATACATTTATTGCTATATCTACTTACGCTCACTTTGATCAATGTAGTTTAGTTTAGTTTAGGTCACTGTTTTGGTTTAGGTCTGGTCACTGTCACCACCACTCTTTCTCCAGGGTATCTACAGTTCAGGACTGTCAAAATGAGATCTCTGCAGATTTCTTCCTGCACCTTTCACTCATACCAGCAGTAAGTTGTTTGTCCAGTTAACCTGTAATACAAACAGAAAAAGATAACAAACTGCTGACTTACTAAAATGCACTGGTTGTTGACACTGGCGTTTATTACATAATTTCAGACAGTTTAGGAAAAGGTTCATTCACTTTTCTAAAACTAACATTATATAGTATATAGCAAAAACATGAATTCATGTAGATGAACTCTGAAGATTGGCGTTTTTAATCATACACTGAAATTAATGTCAAGCCAACGTGTTCATCACCAAAAATTACAAGCTGGTCTCAGAGAGCTTTTCAGTCTGTAATGCATCCTCAGGTCCTTAGTTTGGAAAAGAACAAATTTCACAAAAAGACAGGGGGTGGGAGGGAATGATTTAAGGAAAAGCAATCAGTGAACTTTTTCCAGGACAGATGAACATGGAACACGGTACAATATACATAATACCAACAAGAAATACAAAGTTGAGGTGCTACAAATTGTGCTTATATATTATGAATTGTCTTCCTGCCTTCTAGGTGCTGATCCTAGGAGTGCTCTCGTTCCTGCAGAAAAGAGCCAAAATGCTGGCCATTGACCACAAGCTGCCCTTCCTAGGGCGACGTTTTGCCATCGTGGTGTAAGGCAGCAGCAGTAACAATACCATCAGTATTAATGTTATATCTCAGTAGTCCTTAAGTCTTGGCTATGACAATTTTAAAGCAGTATGATGGTTGTTATATGCAGCTTTCTTAACTATATCTATACTCCTTTGTAATGTATGTCAGGCTCCTATATGGTTTTTTTGTTTTTGTTTTTATGATATTTTGTTTTTATTGTGTCCCTTTGGATACTATGGGCAGCTTCAGTAGCCGCTGGTCCTATGGGTTTGCGTTTGGTGCTGTGTCCAGCAGCGTCTTGCTGCTCTTCTCTGAGCGTTACATTCCCTTCTCTGTCCCGACCTGGGCCAGAGGTACTGCCTCAGTTTCTAACTGTTATCTAGGCTCTATACTTAAAATATATATCCTTCTCTTTTTTTTAGCTATTGTTTATCTTTAAAATACATATACAATAAATTAATATGTTGACTGTGATGTTTCCTGGCTATTCTCCTCTAGCTATAGTGTACTTGGTTGGAGCTTTAGAAGTGGGCCTGGTCTATTTCCCTTTCTTTGCCTGTCTATCCACACCTTTCAGAATAGCTGGGTCTGCCATGGGAATACTCTACTCTCTGTCCTGGTAAACTGTCACTCATTTTATATGTTCAGATGTGCACCATATTTCACGTAATGTAGGGTGGTACTGCAGGGGGTGGTTATAATACTATGGGGAAAAATATATGTTGGTTACTTTTACAGCATAAAGCTTTTAAAGAAAATTTGTACAAAATTATATTAAGGAGCAATGAACTGACAAATTAATAGGAGTATACATCCATCCATCCATCCATCCATTTTCCTCTGCTTATCCGGGACGGGGTCGCGGAGGAGTATACAGTATGTGGATAATTGAGATTTAATAGTGTTAAAAAATAATTCACATAACTCTGTGCTTGTTTGTAGGATCATCATCGTAGTGTGGGATTCTTTCACCTGCCCTGACGGTAAGGTAGGTGATTACTAAACCTAATCAAAAACCTAGTTGAAACTTAGTGTGTCTGTTATAGAGTGTCTTCATGAAATAAATGGATGGATGACGCTCTGTATGATTTTAAAGACTATGGGTAAATACCAGAAGATAATTGTCCAGTGGCCCTGCGTCCTCTCCCTCATCTTCCTCTTGGGACGATTTGTCTACATGCTGGTTAAAGCTGCTCGAATACAAATGCAACTGGAACAAGAGGTCAGTATGAATAACATCTCTGAAGTGATTCTTGCTGTATGTTTAGTTTGGTGCTGGAGGCCTACCCTATGAACAAATCTGTCAATGTAATGACCACATAAGATTTTATGCAACATATATTGGTAAATTTTATTTTATGAGGGGTTTTTTCTTTATTTTTTAAACCTTGTTCTCCTTCTTGCTTTTATTTTGTTGATAGATTGGAAACCTATGATCTACACTGATTATATAAAATCTTCTTTAATGTTTTTTTTTTTTTAATAATATGAACAAATTTGCTTAATTTGCTGCCAGGACCCTGAGGAGCTGATTGAGCAGCACCAGGTGCAGTATGTTAAAAGGCTGTTGAGAAAAACACATGCACACAGGTAGAATACAAACTCGTGCACACATACACCAATGCTGTCTTCACATGTTTTTGTACCTGTAGTTTTCCTGGACATTTACAGTGCAACAGCCTGTTAATACAGTACGGCCACGTTCTCTGCATGTTTTAACAAGCTTATTATGTACACTGCACGGCCACATTAAGAGTCGCACCTGTACAACTGTATGCACGTCATTGCAACACTTCCATCTTAACATTTGTGTTTATGAAACTCTAAATGTTTCAGTTTTTGGTGAAATTGTCATAAATGTATCAATTCAATTATATGTTTATTACTGAGGACATAGTTAAAGATGTGTTGTACTGGACCACATTATATTCAGAGGTGCTCCTACTATTTACAATTTGTCATTTCCTTTAGCTTAAAACGTGCAGAGTTGAGCACTGAGAATGTCTGAGTCCGATGATGTTGTTAATGTAATTCAATGCATATTGACCTGAAATCCAGCCAAGAGTGTTTACTATAGGTTCTACTGGAAGAACTCCAGCAGATTTGAGAGTTGAATTCTTACCACAGTCTGTGTGACAGTCTGAAATTTGTAACGTTACACAGAATATGGCATTTTATATGCACGTACAGTTTGGTTTTGACCTGCCTTCCTATGTTGCAGTAAGCCACTCAGCTGGTTCCAGAGCAGAGTGTATGAGTGGGACCCCTACTTCAAGTTTCCCAACAGGATCATCGGAACTACCATTATTTCCCTTATAGGCCTATACACAGTAAAACACAGCACGACATATCTTTTAAAATGTCTCATCCATACACTTAGTTTTTGGAAAGTGTTACACAAACAACTTATATGTGCATCTGCTGTAGGAACAGGTGTATTCATTGGTATGTTTGTGATTTCACTAGATGACCCTGGCAGACTACAGTCTCAGTAGTGCTGTCTTTGACCAGGCAGACAAGTGGAAGGATACACTAAAACAGCTGGTTATCGCTTGCAATGAAACTGAAGCTCTGGGAGCCATGATACCACAGCTGGAAGAATTTTTTCATGTGGCTAGGAGTGAGTCGGTCTACACCCCCTCAGTAGTTTCATGTGTACAGTATCAGACGGATTTTGGAAATGTTTACACCAAATCTGTCCTGTATCTTTGATTCAGAACATTTCTGATGAGAAAAAGTTAAAAATCAACTTCCATTTGTTATCTTAATGTTCAGCACTTTGTGAAACACAATTTTTTTTCAGGGTCTTGGCTAACCACCACTATCTTTGCTAGTCTCAACTCTGTTGCCTACACCTTC